ATGGAGATCAGTGTTTGCTTTAGTTGGGATCTTGAACCTTGATATTTTAACATTATCTTTATTTGGCTGCTTTAAACCATTGTGTTTTTCAACACATTTGTTGTGATAAAAAAGGGCCAAAGCACACATATGTAATGCTGATGGTTATGATTCGCAAATGACATTACCATATTTATAAAACAGGTTCACTGATTTTGTCCACAGTCTCTTTTAGTACCAAAGAGACGTTATGGTAACATATTAGAGCAAAAGAACAAGCGGGCTATTATGAAAGATCACACACATCACTCAAAAAAAAAAAAAAAAGCTCTATCATGCTATGAAACACACACATGAAGAAACAGCGTATGAATCTCAACAACGGTAACAATCCAAAAAATTAATAAACAGATCGACTCTGAACATCACAAAACACGCTACTAAAACTCAACACAAAAACAAAAGCAAAAATAAAAGCACCTAGTAAGAATTAAAGAAAATAAGTGGACAATTCAACGGCATAATTTATTCATGCCGCAATGCATGCTGGGAGTCATGGATGAGTTTTTTCCTGTGCTGGTACCCAGCATGCATTGCAGCATGAAGCTTTTGATTGTCACCATTGTTGAGATTCATACGCTGATTCTTGATGTCTCTGTGTGTTTAAGAGATGCCATAGTTTTAAAGGCTGTGAACATAAGAAGTTTTCAAAAACCATTATAATTGTCTATCATCTCAGCTTGCAGTGTCATATAGCTATCTTAAATAACATGAAACAAGCGAAAACCCACACTATAGTTTTGAAGATCAGCCACTGAACGAGATCAGTGAATCAGGCCACAAAATGATGATTACACCATCATCAACAATTAACCAGAACCATATAAGCATAATTTTTCTAAGCTTTTATTGCTATAACAAATGTGCTTTACAAACACAGTTACAACAACCAGACAAGCTACATTACATCGTGAAGGGTCAAGAGCCCAACTAAAGCAAACACTGATCGCCACGATGGTGAGGTCAAACAATTGTTTTCAATAAAACATCTAAACCTCCGTTTATTCTCAAAGAATTTTTGTAGATATATGACAGAAATAAAGTCAAACTGTAATGCTGTTTGTGGAGTTGTTTGATCATGTTCTGCTGTCTTATTTCAGTTGATTTCATCTCAGTCTGTGGCTGAAGTCAGTTGTAGTTCTTGTGTTTCTCTTTTCTTCAGTGATTCTGCTTGTTAACAGCAGCTGTTCATCATTGTCTGAATTCACTCATTAATGTTCATTCTCTCTGTCAGGTGGACTGTATTAGTAAACTCATGTAGGGAATAGTGAACGAGGGTGTAGGGTGTGATTTGAAACACAGCCTCTGAGTGTCGAATCTGAATGCTGATACTACAAGGACTGCGGAAGGCTACTTTCTCGAAAATAACAAATATTACCCAGAATACGTTGTTTTTTTACGGGATTGTACTGTTGTAATGAAAAAACAGGATGTTACTGTCAGAATATGGCCCGTTTTTTTACAGCAATTTTTTACAGTGCACCCTGAAGTTTAGTGTAATGGTAGTGTAATAAAAACATCTAAAACTGCTGTGCGGATACCAACTTATGTACCCTTTAAATTGCAATTTCTGTGTAAAACTGAAATTCTAACAATGAGTAAAATTATTATAAAAATATAAACACATGAACATTTGAAAAAGTTCTATTTGAATGATTCATTCAAACGTCATTTGTTCATAAATCAATCTGCATTGGTTGGGCTGTATGTTGCTGCATGCAGCCTGTGAAGACACCTGAAAGAAAGTTTTTTTTATTATTTTGCTGTACATACACTTTCAGACTGTAAACTAGGGTAAACTATGAGTTAATTAAACTGCCTTTAGTGGCTATTTCTTTGTTGCGGTACTTGAACTTAGACCACAGGGAAGACATAAAACATTTCAAACAACACCCAAAGTCAAACAGCAATATTGCTGCCAGTTGCTGCCTATAAACCTTCCAGAATCTCACACGTGAACAATACCAGCTTCCACTACAGCATATGCTGCTTTTATCAGCTGATCTAATTTCACACTCAGCCTTCAAATCCATCACAGGGACAGGTAAGATTGCTGAGAAAACAAAGAGCTCAGGAATAATATTGCTTTCAAGGGTAACCACAGTGTCCTGCTATTGTGGGAAAGGAAACACCTCTTATAATACTCAGGACATTCTTGAAAAAAGGAAAATGACTGCTTTCCTTCAAGGCTCAGTGGCCTTCTGTGGCATGCTTTTAGCGTTGTGTTAACAACTGAACTCTCTCACCCCACACTCAAAACACACAGCTGATGTCAGGACAATAACGTTGCATGAGCAATGACGTGAGTCTGCCAGACCAAACAAAAGATCTGACACATTCAATGTACTTTGGCCCAAAGCAGAGTGAGCTAAGACATCATAACAACAGTCTGAGGTCATCTTGGAACCTAAAGTTGTAAACAGCTGTTAATTTGCTATGCTATGGTAAATACTACCTTTCTCCTGAAAAAAAAAAAAAAATGTAAGATTTACTTTTCAGGACATCTACACTGAGTTTCTCAAAAAGGTGACGTCCTTTTATCCCTCTGTCTCAAGCTAAATTAAAGAAAGCATCCACTATAGTCCATCATTATTATTGCCTAAGTTAGCAGTTTTTAACTGGTTCTGTTTGAGGGCCCAGACACTGAGTGACCAATACAGTTTTTTCTACCCTCACACAAAAGTAAACAAAAAGAAAATGTCTTAAAAATCAAAAATTCATAAAAATATAATATAAATACAAATAGATAATACAAATAATAAAAAATCCAGTAATAATTTACTGGAAAAACATGTCTATACTCAATGCAAGTGAAATAATTTTTTTAATAGTCTGGATCATATTTTCTTGTACATTACATAATTTGGTTCATGGTTTTTAAGGATGACTCAAATAAAAAAAATATCGATACTAAGGTGTTTTATTTACCAGTGATTTATTTAACAAAAATTAATGCGTACAATATGCACTGAATTGGACGAATAACCTATGTTATCGAATAATTGTGTAGGATAGAACTATTTTCCTGTTCGTCTGAACACATGCAAATGTTGCAAGACAAAACCAATCAATCACAGAGAGCGTTCACTCACTTCTGACAGTGCATTCAAACAGGGCCCAGAACAATGCTTATCAGAGGACAGAAAAAAACATATATCTTTCAGTTATTTCACAATAAATAAACTGAAATTGTAGCCTACATAGTTTGTTACATTTATTTAAATTGTACGTTCATATTGACCATGTTCTGTTCTGTAATGTTAGTATAAATCATACACTGTCAGAATAAAAGGTTGCATTTTAATGCGAGCAGCCGGTCACTGGCAGTCCCTTATGAAAATGAACCATGGTTTTACTAAAGTGACCGTAGTTCAACTATAGTATTTGTAGATTTCCATGGTTACAACTACAGTAAACATATTTTAACTGTTTAAACAAAAATATAACCTAATAAGTTGCAATTAAGGTGTATTGAATGTTAAAATGTGTTTCAACTTTCAAATATAAAGTTAAGTGGATATCATTACCCATATTACTCTTAGTAATGTAATAATTGAATAAATTTCATAATTTAAAAGTTCAGTTTAGAAGTATCGTATCGGTATCAATATTCTTTTTTTTTTAAAGTATCAGTATCGTATCGGAAAAAAAAGTGGTAAAAAAAAGTGGTATCGCCCATCCCTAGTCAGAACTCAATTCTTTAGAACTCAGAACTCAATTTATATAATTGTGATGGGGAAAGTTATGAAATTGTGCTTTTCATTGGAAACATGCCCATGGTTTTCTTGAAATAGATATTTGGTTTTATTCAAAGCAAACATTATAACTGACCACTAACCAAGAGTGTTTGTGCCCATAAAATAACACTCAAAGTTAAGGCGATAAATGTGTGTAATTATCTAAGTGCTAGAACAAGTACCTAAGAGTCAATGATTTAGAGTGCAAACATGCTTTTCATATGCAGTATTGTGTAACAGTTACTTAAAAACGAAGTGCGAAAGGGTGCAATGAAAAGAAGCCATATTAGTGGGTTATGGGATTTTCATACTGCTGTTTGCTGTCAAGCAGCACTTCCCAGCTGTGAATTCCCAATATCAAAGAATGGGAGTTAGTGCTTTGTCTGGTGAAGTTTCATCACAAAACAAACAGTGGTTTAATATGTCGAAAAACACAGCTCATCTCTACATCTCCTGCTGGAGAAGGGAGCTGCCCATCAGCACAGCTGTCAACAGCTGGGTGGGAGAATGATTTCATGGACTGTCCGCTGTTTCCCCTCTGGATATCAAAAGAAAGAGAAATAGCTTTTACTTTCAAAAAATTAGATGACTAGCACAAAAGATGCAACAACAACAAGATTAATACATATAATTCTGAATTTGTGTAAAATGTAAAGTGTGTTAAAAAAAAACTTCACTGAAATGTGTCAATAATGCTATTACTAGTATGAACACAATTGCTATTAAAAGACACCTATAGAGAAAGAAGCTTGGCACTTCTGAGGAGCTTGTTTCATAGCACAAATGACACAAATTATATACTATTTTAGTTACATTTAAAGGTTTAAAAGGCAGATAAACTAAATATACAGACCTGAATGACAATACTGTGCTGTCAAATGTATCATTCAAGTGTCTCTAGCTTGTAGATTTCAAACTAAAAAAATATATTGTATTAGCTGTGAAAATTACATCATCTTCCTGGTCTGACACTAAAATAACACATCCAGGTGGTTTCACCTTAGAGGATAAATTAACTAGACTAGACAACTGACTAGATTCGACTATTGAAACAGTTAAATAAAGTCACATTAAAATATTTTTGCATTACAAGATTACATTAATTCGCTTTTAAAAGATGACAGAAAATTACCCATTAGAGATATGTTACTGCTTTTTATAGTATTGCTGCCTTGTTTCATTACTTTAGATGCAGCAGGTGACAAGTCCATTAGTGTTCATCACTCTACAAAACATTTTAACCATTCACACCTTTACAAAATAATGTCTAAAGACACTGAGAGCACAGATTCTTAAAACACACAAGAATATATTAATGGCAAGAAACTCTAAAATCTCTGACAACAGCTTGTGGCGCACAAAAGCACAGAACTTCACATGACTACAGAAAGAGATGCAGCAAGAATTCAGAAAAACAACCACGTGAACAGCACAGCACTTTATGAAATCTGCCCTTTTTTATCATACCCACATGGCCGCAGCAGAGGCAAATCCCTTCCGCCCTCCTGTCACATCTCATATAGATATACACTCTGAATCAGAGCAGCCACACATGAAGCAGTGATAAGATGCTTCCCGAGGATTTAGGTAAACTCTGAGTCCTGTGTCAGTGCAGGAGTTCTCAGAATGTGTCCACGTGTCTTCCCACATCATTACACAAGTCAAAGCCTCCTAACCCCATTTTGCCAGCACGTAAACACAAGGCAAACATCACTCCTGACCTTTTCTTATACTTCACTGATTGCCGACCTGAAGCAAACAAATCAATTCTTTCCATTTGAGCTCAACAACACTTCAAACTACAAGTTTCTTTGACCTCATTATTTTTCAGATTTTTATACCAACTGCTGCTTATCTTTCTGATGAAGTTATCCTGGCTTAAGTGATACACTGTACAGGGACAAAAAACACTAGAACTAAGAAAAAGAGCACGCACTCATCTCACATGGCGTCCTGTCAATGTCGTCCATCTTTTCCAGTGTAATCCGAGTTCACCTTTTCAGCCATAGAGCCATAGGTGCAGAGGGAACCATGCAGGGTGGAAGCCAAACAGACACAGAGGAGTACAACACAAGAGTCAGTGCCGTAATTTCCCCTCCCTCCAGTTCAAATTTGGGGGCTGGATTTGGTGGGAGCCGAGCGTGTCTCAGTGAGCATGCTCTGAAATGAAAGGCACACTTTTATACACACGACAAGTGATTTCCAGCCCCTGGGTCCCTCCTCCCCTCCACATCCTCCCTCCCTTCTGCCTCCGAGCTGATCAGAAACCAGGAATGCGGCTCAGACCAAAGTCCGGCCTCCATCAGAAGGAGAGGAGGGAAAGATCCCCCCACCCAATCAATAACACGTCCAGCTGCCCGAGGCAAACACTGAAGTTTGCTGGCCACTTGCTTCTTTTTATTGGAGGCAGGTGGCTAAATGGCAAGAGGTCTGTACCACAAATGGGAGGGTCCCAGTTTCCACTGAAACCACTGTTGGGAGAACGGCACCTAACTAACCCCCTGACCCTTCATCTGCCCCAGGGCATCACAAAATGACTGGCTTTCCCAAACAAAGTGGTTTTTCTACAAAGAATAGGAATGTGTGAGGTAAAAAGACACCCGAGCAAAAGTGTTTAACTGGTTAAGTAAGATGTGAAATACCTACTTGTGTTACTGCTCTTCTCAAGTTCTCACAAACCACAGGTGACACACCCCCCTTAGTGAATTCCTTGACCTCTACTGAAACTCAAACAAGTCTTAAATTATTTCTTTATACACTACTATTCAAACATTTCAGGGTCAGTAAGATTTGGTTTGAAAAAAAGTCGCTCATGCTCACCAAGGCTGCATTTATTTGTTTAAAAATACAATAAAAACAGTAATACTGTGAAATATTATTACAGTCTAAAATAACTATTTTCTTTTTGAATATATTTTAATATGTAATATTCCTGTGACGTGTTTTTTTCCTGTGATGCAAAGCTGAATTTTCAGCATCATTACTCCAGTCTTCAGTGTCACATGGCCCCCCAGTGAACTCCCTGTCCTCTATTGAAACTCAGACAAGTCTTAAATTATTTCTTTATATACTACCATTCAAAAGTTTTAGGGTCAGTAAGATTTATGTGTGTGAAAGATTTAGTTTGATCAAAAATACAACAAAGACGGTAATACTGTGAATTATTAAAGTCTAAAATAACTGTGTTCTATATTAATTAAATATATTTTAAAATGTAATTTATTCCTGTGATGGAAAAGCTTAATTTTCAGCACCCGTTGCTCCAGATTTTAGTGTCACATGATCCTTCAGAAATCATTTTAATAAGCTGATTTGGTGCTCAGAAAAACATTTCCTATTATCAATGTTGAAAACAGTTGTGTTCCTAAATATTTTTGTCAAACTGTGATACATTTCATAAAAGGATTCTTTGGTAAATAGAAAGTTCAAGATTTATTTACAGCATTTATTTGAAATAGAAACCTTTTGTAACATTATGCATGGATTTACTGTGACTTTTGATCAATATTGAATGTATTTTCTAAATAAAAGCACCACAACCTTTCGAATGATAGATTAATACTAATTTACCTTTTATATTATTTAATACAAAATAATATAACAATAAATTATATCATTTATTCTGCAATTTTTGTATAATGGCCACTAAACTGTATAATTGTCCCCTACACTGTGCTACTGTATTTTCACGTCTGCCTTGCAATCTGAAATCTCTCTTTTTTACATGATAAAGTATCATTTCAACTCTAATCAATATTTCAGGTCCCTGCATTTATTTATTTATTTATTTATTTGTTAAGTAGCCATGTAATAAGTGGTATAATGTCATCAACAAAAAATAATTCTACAGTATCCCTTAAGTAACCGTGCAGCTGAAAAGGACTGAAATGTAGTATGTTTACTATTGTGTAATTATTCTGTTACGTTATGCTAACTATGTTAAGTTATTATAAAAACACAAACACCCACAAACAAAACTACAACACAAAACATGAACCCTAATAGAAAAATAACTAAACTGAGCAATTCAAATTGTCAAAAAACTGATTATGGATAATTGCCATATTTAAAATATATTTCTAGTATAACACAGATTTACAGTATGAAGTTTCATATACATATCCACCCAATGGAACAAAGAGACACACCCCCATGGTGTTTGTCAGTGTGTGCATGTCTGTTTTTACTCTATCTGCGTGTGGCTGTCTGGATAACTCTGATAAGCGCCTTGTCTCAGTGTACATGCTGCTGTATTTGCCATTTCACTGATCAACCGGATGAGACTTTTTTGCTTGCCGAGTGTAGCAAAACAAACCACTGCTGTAGTCATACATACATGCATACTTATCACAGACCGCTCTATCTATCGCAGACAAAAAACATGCACGACCCATGGAATCATTGCTCATATTCTCCAGCCCACCCTCAAAAACACATGCTGAGCTGATATGCCTGAAGAGCAAATAGACTCATTCTAGAAAACGTGATTTAGCTGGAACAAGCTTCTATGCAGAGAAAATTACAAAAATCAAAGTTTTTTTGTTTTTTTAATTAATCAAAACAAAAATACAGGTTGATCATTTATCTTTTAAAATCGAAATTGTCTAAAAATAAATTAAGAAATTAGTTATAAGATTTTTAAAATCAGGTAGTACATTTTATGTTATCCATATCAGAAAAGGGAGTATGGGGTGTTTCTGCAATGTTCTGGCGATTCTCTCTCCTGCCCTAATTTCTCAGAGAATCTGTCAGCATTCAAACCAGGTTGTACAATGAGGACATTAGTCCTTTGAGACATTCTCTCAGCCTCCCTCTAGCTCTCTCCTCTTTCACACACTCTCACTTTCTCTTCCCCCACACACTTTTTTCCCCGTCTTTCCCTGATTGCCACCCTACAATGAGAACCCTACCTCGTTCTCTTCATTCCTCTTCCCTCTTAATACCTGTCCATCATACTATGTCCCTGTAGGCACCAAACAAATACCAAGTTAATGTCTTACCTCAAATGGAGTCTACTCATTTAAAACATTGGAGTATCGTTACTTAGAACAGGGGTTTTCAGAATGGGGTCCAGGGACCCCCAGGTGGCAACAAACTGATCTGTGGGTGGAAAAAATTTAAAAGTGTGTGTTGCAATGTACATAATTTCAAGTAAAGTTTCTCCTCACAACTTTAACCCTTTATTTTGCTCACTGGGATTTGTATTTTAATATTTTATTTAAAGCTGCTTTGGATTTATTGTAAAAAATTGCTATACAAATAAATCTGAATTGAATTAAAAATAATTATTTCTTTTAACTTTAGTACAAAGATAAATGCCAATTATTTCATTTTTAATTTTTAACCATCACATTGTCTTTATAATATCATATTTGCTGTTTCTCACACTGTATGAGTCTTAAAATACACAGCAACCTTTATAATTTAGAAAGAATCTGGAGGATTCCAGAAAGGGCATCTTAAATGGTTTATTCAGTTTAAGACAAGTTCATTATAAAACTGAATTAATTAGGTAATATGATTTCAAAGGTGTTTACACAAAACCTCCAATGTTTTCCATAAACAAATTGCCAGATTAGTTTGGCGGGTGTGACTACAAAAGAGAAAATTAAATAGGGGAGGACTGCTCCAGATGATGGCAGATCGGTCCATAAGGTCAAAGGTTATGGGAAAAAAAAGGAGGTAAAAAGAGCACTCGTGCTGAGGTGAAGGTGGTTGTCTGACTAGGTTAGAACAAAACGGTGCAGGGAAGTGCAGAAGTGGGGGAGGAAGACTGTCATTACGGTGACCACAATAAAAGGTTTAAGCCGGTGACCCTTCAAGGCCAAAACAATGTCAATTAAGCTTTAAGAGACCCTACCGTGGATTCAGCCAGTGGCTCTTAGCCCTGGCCCTATTTGTCAGCTTTAATCACCACTTCAGTCAGACAAACAGCTCACATTGTCCGTACATAAAAACTACATCAAGAACAAAGGCGGTACATTTACTGCCTTTCTTGGGTCACGCCTTTCCATAACACAGCAGCATTGACAGGCAAGCCACTACACTGACCCTATGACTTTACGAAGTGAAAACAAATAAGAAGAATGTGGCTTAACTCTGCAATGCGTCCCATTGATGCTGAATAGCATGTGGTTATCGGTGTTTCATCTGCAAATAAAAAAAAAGAAAGGACACATTTAAAACAGCTAATAAATCTCAACAAACAATGCATAGACTATTTTAATTCATCATGGTAAATAAGTCAGACCCTAATCTCTCCCAGTTGTGTGCATTAATAAAGCTACTAACCTCATGCAAACAGCAGCAGCTACGGTGCAGGTCATTTGTTCTACAAGCAAATAAATTATATTTATCACACTTTAAGTATTTGCATATTCTTTCTGCCACAAAAATATAATGAAACTAATGATGCTCATTTAAAAGAATTAGAGACAGCAGATGGCTGTATTTGACCCCTTTGCTATGAAAACTTAAGATATTTTATATTATTTTTAATTATGCATGATAAAATATTTAGAATTACTTAAAGAAATTATTATGGTAAGTTATCTGTGCAAACCATAGACTGAAAAAAAAAAAAAAACTCTGAAAAGAAAATATTCTGAAACTGCAAATTTTCATTACTGCTTTCTTCTTAATAGACTAGAAACACCTGCACAACCCCACAATGGACCTTTTGTGTGTATGTTAAGAGTCTAAAAACTGGCCTTGAACTAAATGAGCTTAACAAGCAAAAAGTGGAAAATTCACAGGTCTTATACACTGTTGCTGCATGAAGCAATGGCGCGGCTACAGTACTTGCATTGCAACGTATGAAGCTCTGTTGCCTCCTACTGGAAATAAATAGTTCCCGAGGACTTGATTTCAGTCAGCTAGATTAGCCCTGTAGTATGCTGCAATTTGCAGCTCTTTTCATTCCCTATGATATTTAGACATTTTGAAAAAGTTTTGATATCTGAAATGAAAACAAAGAACACTTTTTAAAGCCTATATAATAGGCTCTAATATAATAGATGTGTGAATGAAACAGAAATACATTTTCCTTTTCTTGTCTTTAAAATTCAAGTTAATGTCCTTTTCCTTAAGAAAAATGTTTGTTTGTTGATATATTGTGTGTGTGTGTGTGTCTTTTCTTTAACATAAAAAGAAAACTAACTGGCAGACTTACCCGAAATGTCCTGGCTAGGATGGTTAGGACTGTATGATCTGTCCATAATTTGAAATAGAACTTCTCCTTGAAAGATTAGCAAACCTCTCTATTTCTACATTCAGTGACAAATAAACAAACAAACAAAAGCTACAAAACTCTGAATGAAAAGGGAACAAGTAAAGATAGCAATATCAAATATCAACACTGAAAAGAAAACGTTACCCCGGTGAGATGCTGTTGACTCATAAAGAGAGAGCCAGGGGCTCAGTGTCTTCACACACTCTGTGTGTGTGCGTGTGTGCTCCTTTCACTCCACATATACGCCTTTGCCATCGGCATTACACTAATATATGTCTTGTCTTTAAGAGGGCACTTCCCTTTTTTCTCTCTTTTTGACTGGAACTGAAATCAATGGTCACGCAATTACAGAATGTGGATTTGTCAACTGACGTCTGGCTGCTAAAGTGCGTGTGGGGAGCACTATACAAACACCCAATAAGAAGTTCAATAAGAGCAGTAACACTGCTGATTGCCGACTACAGTCCCATCAAAACCAGACAGCCAGTTCCAGGTGTTTTATTCTGTCGAGAGGCAATATTGCATATTGGCAAAGAACATCAATTGTTCACTCAAACGTCTCACGGCGGCCTATTGACACTCCACCAGGGAGCAGAGTCAACCATTTGGAAGTTATAACTCCTTTCAAACTGTTTTAAGACAGGAACAAACGTTCGGCGCTGGAAAGTGCTGTCTCGAGAGGCTCCCTCTCCGATAATTAGTGATCAATCATGAATTAGTTTAAAAGCTTGAAAAGAACACTGAGAGCATTATTAGATTGCAGAGATTCACTACTCTCCAATAATGACTTGGATTTTTAAAGGAATGAAATCCTCCAATCATTTGTCAGTCTCCTCTATTGCCAATCAGGCCCATTAATCAGGATAAGGTCCAACCAGCCCACGTCTAAGAGATCGCAGGTGCCAAACAGAAAAGAAGGGGAAAAAAGGCTGCTTACAGCTTGTGTAATTAGAGGACATTAACACAGATGGAGTCAACTGCTTCAGGTTCATCACTAAAGTGATAAATATACGTTAAGTATTTATTATTGCTACGACTAAGACTTAAAATGCCACTAGGCCTTGAAAAATTCATCAGAGTCATTTATGTTAATTCTGCCAACAAGATCTAAACTGATTGGTATTTGCCAATATTGTCTTCATATATCACATTTTAATTTTCCAAGCACACTTACCAAATGTACTTACAGTACAAAGAGGTTTAAAACTGCGGCTATTTGCACAACTGATCTAAGATATTTACCTGTCTGGTGCTGCTGTTGAAACCTTTCCCTTAAGGATCTCTAACAGTAGCTGACCTGAACTGACCAGCTCTCTGTAATTGAACAAATGCATCAATGCTGCATTTGTTCAATCTAATTTCAGGATGCTACTACAGGGCATGTTTATCGAAGAGAACAAATATGTCTAATAGATCAGATTAGCCCACAAATCACAAAGCCATGAAAAGATACCCAAGGTTAAACCTGGACATTATTTTATAGATTTAATATTGCTGTCCTTAAGAAACCTAACCTTGCGTTTTACCCTGTGGCTTAAGGGCCTGATTCAGTCTGAAGCTAAAATTATATATATAAAAATGAATAAATAATAATAATAATAATTTAAAAAATGAAAAGTAGTTTAAAAGTAGTTTGTAGTTTATACCTCAGTTTCAGTTATTATGGCTTAAACTTAACATTAACAAAAAAAAACGCCTTCTATAATTGGATATTTGATAATTTACTGTTAATATAGGCCTACTCACATTTTTGTAACTATCCACTACTGCTGACTGACTTCGACGAACTGACTGAAAATGGTGATGTACTTAATAAATGCGCGAAACAACTATTTGACTGAAATTATATTTTCAATCTGCTGGTTTCGCGCCTTCACATGTAGGCTATGTCACCTGTGAAGGCGCGAAATTTGCTGATAGCAGATGAAGGCGCAAGACGCTTGACTTTACAACGACATAATGGGCGCCCTCAAACAAACCCGCTTTAACTTTTTTTTTATTTTTTTTATGGATCCTGTCCCAAACTGGCTTGGAACGGGATTTAATAAAATGTGCAATTATTACCTTGATGAATGAATTAGGGGGTATTTCTCAGCTCTTTTTTTTTTGATGATATATCTCTGCTGTATTTTTTTGGGCCACTGTCCATGCTAGAGATGAGTAGGCCTACTAAGCAAATAAATCACTCAGCTATCATATGAGGCTCCAGTCAGTCAGCCGCTAAACTGAGGTGGTACACTACATCTGTCACTCGTTCGAATCATTTCAGAGAATCGGTTCTTTCAAACATTTTGTTCCAAAGAACCAGTTCATAAAAAGAAGTCTTACGCCATGACTCAATTGCGTCATCGTGTGGCTCTAGACGTCATGGCGTCAACTCAATTTCATTCCAATAATTTCGTGTTTTAATTTGGCTTTAGTAATAAGGGTTATTGATAATTTTGTGACCATTCATCATTTATAAAAACAGTAATTTAGAACATAAATGCAGTTTGTAATTCCATTAAACAATGCGATGAATTCAATACAAATGATGCGTTCAAGAAATTCAACCACAGTCTATGGATTCAACTCATAAGAACCATCCATTCACGGATCTCTACAGGATATCATTCCTAAAAGTTCTAATAAACAAGTCACTTACAATTTCAAACAAAAATGGCACCTGTTCAAAAGCAGATGCATATTGAGTGCACACTAAAAAACATACTGACTTTTCCAAGTATATATTATTAGTCGAAGAATTTGACAAAAATAAGCAGTTGTCATTTTAAATGATGGAACATGCTTGAAATACTAATTTTTAATAGTAGGACAAGTGATATTAAATTATCTCTGATTGTAGATGAAACTCAATCAATAGTTTAAAAAAATCTTTTTATGACGCTATGCTATTTTGAGATGCTATGGCATATGCCCAGACACTGGTCACACTACTTTAAGTCTGATATCTCCGTCTCCTCAGAAAGTTGTTGTCCAAACCAGTCACCGTTTCGGTCTGGACCAAATCCTGCTCCATATTGAATATCAAATATACCGATTGTCTGTTTATTTTATTATTATATTATTTTAATAATTACACACTTCAGCTTTAAAGTAAAGATATTACTAATGCATTTGATATTCATTCAGCTATGCTAAAACAAATATTACACTTTTTATGCATTCAAGTTACATTTGCAAGAGAAATTATTAAGACATGAATGCCTCTAAGCTCTTTAACGTCTCATTGCAAAATTGTATGTATTTGCATGGCAGGAAGTGATCTTTAATCTTTACCATAAGTGCTGCATTATGCCACTGTGCATTTTGACCTGTTAAAAGTGACAGGCAATGCCCTGAGAAAGCCTTTTTAAAGGCTCAGTAAACATTACCACAAATGTTCATTATTCAGTGCATCTCCTCTGTCCACCTGCAAGCAAAAACTCTGCCACATCCCTTATATTATTTGCATAACTTAAATCTGGATGTGACAGATTAGATCTGTTTAAAAATATTCTCGGTTGTGTGCTTCCAATGCAGGTAACATTTTAGTCTCTTGTGGACAGACCCTGCAGATAAGTTCATTCTTGCTGTAAGGTCTCTCTCCAGCTGAAGCTGTGGTTGGGCCCGTGAGTTAAAGGAAGAATTGGTGGGTCCACTAGCTGCCAGAATCCTGAGTCCCCATGCTCCTCACAGGCACACAGACCCAGGTATGGAATCTGGACGGAAAGATTGGCTCCCATAAAGCATCATGCTTAAAGTATAAAGATCAAATGTTTAAAGTAAAATGGATGAAACTAACCTTTCTGACTACTTGCACAAAATCTTTGGGATTCTGAGGAGAAAGGCCCTGGATCTGGCGAGTGCAGGCCTCCAAAGTGGAAGCATGTCCCACAAACAGAATATTTTTTCCTGATGTAAAAACAGGAGGGTATTAGTAAAGATCTGTGAGGGTCAAGTACTAAAAGCAGTATTTTTAACCACTCACCCTTATTTTTGCAGTATGCCAAAATGTCTTTGGTCACCTGGTGGCTGCGACTAATGTACGTGTCATACGCCTCCGAGACGGTTAGTTTGCTAATCGGGATGTGAGGTCTGCGGAAAGGCAACTGTCGATCAGGACAGAATTTGAAATGTAAATAGCTCCTACAGTATATATGATTCCTCCATTTGTTACCTGTATGTTGTGTCTACATTAAGGTTGGCCGCAGCAAGATCTGTGGGGGGTATCCAAGTAGGCAAAGATGTTCCTGTCACCCATTTAGTCCACTCAAAAAGCCCAGGCTCCACTCGAATGCTTATTCTGCCATCTTGCTGCATTCCTAGAAAATTTGCGCATGGCATTGGGGTCACAGAGCATTTTAATGTAAAGTAGACTAATAAAGTGAAAATGTCAATAAAGGTGTAGCAAAACAGCAATTTCTAAAGCAGCATGGAACTTTCTGGAATATTCAAGTCTAATACGAGCTTCATTTCAGCATTCTCTAAAATCTACTGGTGGATAGAAAAAAGTAAAAGTGTAACTTAAGCCATACTAAGTGTATATGACTTTCTTCTTTCAGACGAATACAATCTGAGTTATATTAAAAAATGTCCTGGCTCTTACAAGCTTTATAATGGCAGTGAATGGTGGTTGAGATTTTGAAGCAAAATATAGTGCATCCATCCATCAAAAAAAGTACTCCACACGGCTCCAGGGGGTTAAATTTTTATTACATTTTAACTTTTATTATTACCAATGTTATTATGAAAACAGTTGTGCTGCTTAAAATTTTTGTGGAAACCATGATACATTTTCTCAGAATTCTTTGACAGTATTTTTTTGTAAAATTATACAGGTATTTACGGTCCCTTTTAATCAATTTAATGCATCCTTGCTGTATAAAAGTATTATTTTATTTCTTTTCTTTTTCAAATCATGCTGACTGAACAATTGTGTATTTATAATATTTTATAATTTTCACAATATAAATTGGGTATTTATAATCTATAAATCATTTATTAATTTATAATAATTTATAAATGATCATATATAATAATATATTAATAATAATAATTTATAATATATAAGTTATATAGCTACCTTTTATATTTTAAGTCTCTTGCAAGGTGATTGTCATATTTTGGGCACCATGGCAACTAAAAGATTTAAAAGCCCTGGTCTAAAAGACATTTACATGCTCCTATTGGAATTTTCCTGTAGACCACTGCTGCCAACAGATTCCTGACTTCAGTACGTACCTCTGAGGATTTCATGAGCTGTCTGGACACATCGGAGACTGGGTGAGCAGTACACAAAATCAATAGTGGTATTACTTTCCAGCAGAGCCTCACCTGGAAATCAGACGGATGACATAAAAAGAGCATGATGGACAATTCACTTGGTGAATTCATGTGAACATCATAATACTGAGCAGACATACCCACTATCTTAGACTGGGTAGCTCCAACCACTGTGATAGGAGTGTCCATTTCATAGTCCCTGTGTGCTCCACCCCAGGCAGGTAGTGCAGCAGGCATATTCAGGTTACTCCTCACGTACCTGCCTACAGGAAGACAAACTGAGCTCGCAAACTAACTGTATCAGGTGAGCGAGGCACCATGACCCGTCTGTTCAGATTACCTTTAGAGTCAGTGCACTGTGAGAGCCAGTGTTTCCCAAACACAACATCCATTCTTTCTCCATGCCGACATACAAACAGGGTCCTTTTAGGGGTCCGAGAAAGAATGTTGGAGCGGAGCACCTATCATCAACAGCACAAAATAAATCACTCAAATCATTAGTATCTGCACA